CTCCCCCGAGGCGGCCACAGTCTGGAGGAAGAGGCTCGACATAAAAATACCCCCAACACTGCAATGTTATGTACGTGGGATGGAGGGACATGGAGCGCTGAGGGGGCCATGAACGAGTGACCAATTCTCCCCAGGGGCATCTGGAAGACTTAGGAGGGGGCATTCTGAGCCACGCATGCCAGACAAGGAGACATCCTGACAGCTGTGTGTGTATGTGTACAGCTGTGCGTGTATGCATGTGTATATGCATGTGTACATGTGTATGTGCGTATGTGTATATGCATGCATGTATATCTGTGTATGCATGCGTACACACGTATGTTCATGCATGTACATTAGCATGTATGCATATGTACTGGCATGTGTGCATGCATGTGTACATGCGTATGTGTATATCTGTATATGCACGTATATTTACATGTATGTATATTTACATGTATGTATATGCATGTGTATGCATATGTATATGTGTATGTGTGTGTGTGTGTGTGAAAGAGAGAGAGAGAGAGAGAGGGAGGGAGGGAGGGAGGGGGAGAGAGAGAGAGGAGTATAAAGGCCACGTGGGGAGTGAGGAACATCACAAACCGGAAAGTGGGAGGGCCCGGCCCGGCCCTGCCACCAACCCCCCTGAGACTGCACAGCAGAAACCTACAGGACACTGAGGGGCTGGGCTAACAGTGCATCCCTGGGCCAGTCCCAGACTCCCTTGGGGCCTCGGTTTCCCCATCTCAACACTGAGGGGTCTGGGATGATGCCCCGAGGGGTCTTTCCAGGTTGGCCACTCCAGGGTGCTGAAAGCCTCTGGGCTTTTCGTACGTGTCTGCAACAACTGGAGACAAACCCACCCCCAGCCCCAGCTGCTGGGCCCAAGCGGCTCTGAGACCTGCCCGCCTGTGGGGGCACCGCGGCTCGCTCACAGGGCGAGCGGGGCCGGAGCCAGAGAATGCTGCGCACGCGGTTCTTGCTGCTGGGTCCTTGCCACAGCCTTGGGGGAAGGAGCACAGAAAGATTAGCTTTCTTAGGGAGGGATGATGGGGCAGGGTGACCGTCTGGGTCACACGCCCGGAGCTAAGGGTCAGAGAAAAACAGCGAAACACAGCAGCAGTCAGCAGCATTTACCCAAAGCCTTCTCTGTGGGCTAAGCATTTTTGAAAACATTGCCTCATTTGACACCATCCTCCTTTTACAAATGAGTAAACCGAGGCAAAGTGGTCACGTGATTCGTCCTGGGTCACACAGCTAGCGAGTGACAGAGCTGGGCTTGGAACTGGCAGTCTGGTCCCGAGCCTACGCTCTCCCTGCTCGGACTGCATCTGTGTTTCCCATCTGTTAGCTGCCGTCAGCAATTGAGGGTTACAATGAGACGCCCACCATGAAACAGCGAGTGAAAGAAACAGATTCTCCTTGGAGAGTTACACCAACACCCGTCTAGGGTGGCCTGGAGCAGAGGGACTAAGTCACCCAACAGAGCAGCTCTCAGGTGGGCGGACACAGCACCTTGCTCAGGCTGAGCAGGTGAGGTCATCAAGAGGCCAGGCTTGGCCAGGCACGGTGGCTCACGTCTGTAATCCTAGCACTCTGGGAGGCCAAGGCAGGCAGATCGCTCGAGGTCAGGAGCTCGAAACCAGCCTAAGCAAGAGCGAGAACCTGCCTCTACTATAAATAGAAAGAAATTAATTGGCCAACTAATATATATAGAAAAAATTAGCCAGGCATGGTGGCTACCTGGGAGGCTGAGGCAGGAGGATTGCTTGAGCCCAGGAGTTTGAGGTTGCTGTGAGCTAGGCTTATGCCACGGCACTCACTCTAGCCTGGGCAATAAAGCAAGACTCTCAAAAAAAAAAAAAAAAAGAAAGAGGCCAGGCTCAGCAGTCCCTGAAAAACTTGGTTCTAATCCCCACTCGGCCACTTTATAGCTCTACAACCACCTCTCAGTGCCTCAAGGGCCAAATCTGTAAAATGGGAACAATAATGGTCCCAGTGTCAGAGCTGTCACGACAGTTAAAAAGGATGCAGGCAGAGAGCCTGGCAAGTCTAGCCCACTGTAACTCAGTAAATGACAGCTACTACTCCTACTATAGCATTAATATACAAGGTATTAGTTATAAGGTCTCTTGGCAGCCCTGGAAAAGAAGAAAAAGGAGAGTCCTGGTGGCCAATGGAGACATCCCTCCAGCAGGGGCTCGTGGAGGCACCTCAAGCAGCAGGGCTCCAGCACCCAGGTGCACCTGCAGGGCCATCTCTGAAGCCGCAGGCTACCTGGGCTTGAAACCACTAACTGTCGGGTCATCCCACTCCGCTGACTCTGACCATGCCCTGCCTCCCACCGGGCCTGCCTCCTCCATGACTTGAGTGTTGGGGTCCTGGGACACCCCTGTTCATCAACAGCAAATTAATCAACAGCCACCTGGTGTGACTCACCAGCCTCAACATTTCAGATAAAGTGCTTGTGCCCCGAGAGCCGAAGCATCTGCTGTGTGCTGACCAATCACGGGGTGTGAAGGGCAGGGACTAGGCCTTTCATGTTTACCCAGAGACAGAGCCTGGCCCGCAGACCCCCAAGAAAGGCCTCCAGAAAGGAACCAGCAGAAACCATGGCGTGGGTGCAGCCCGCGTCACCTCTGCTCTCCGCCAGCAGAGGGCGCGGCTGCACACAGCTGCCGGCCGTGGCCCACGCACCTTGTTGGCCACCGTGTACTGGTAGGAGTACCGCTGCTTGCCACTCTTGTCCTCGTAAACCGTGGGCACGATCTTCAGGATGTAGTCGTGGGAGGCCAGGGCTGCAGGAAGGACACACAGCAAGGTGAGGCGGGGGGCGGCACACCCGCTGCCAGCTCTGTGTGGTTTCAGTCCTAACCCTAAACCCTCTTGCACTGCAGGAAGCTCATTCCCTGCATTTTTACCACCAAACGACCCCTCTTCGTGGTCTCCCCTTAGATTCCAGGAACTGAGAGAGTCTACCCATCAGGATCTGTACCCCTGCACTGTATATAATATCAAAATTCTGGAACTAACCCACATGTCTATCAATAGGGCCACCGTTAAAGCGTGGGCACGAGGAGAGGCTGCCCTCCCAGAGGTACGGGTAAGCCAAAACAACAGGCACCACTTGCTTCCATGAACTGGGGGCAGGTATGTGAACGCTCTCTAGGTATGTGAATATACAGAATGATCTGGAAAGATACCCAAGAAATCACAAGCAGCTTTAGCCTCCGTGGAGGAAGGGAGGATTTGAGAAAGATCCCATTGGGTTGTGCACCCTCTGGTATTGTCTGGATGTTTACGTTTAAAACAAATTGTGTTTCTCTTTTAAAAAGAAAGAGTGCACCAACCATAACACCGTGTCTACAGGGCTGATTAATCTCCTCCCCTGTTTTCAATTAGTGGCCGAGCAGCTCTTCCCGGATGGCGGGGCTGCAGAGGGCAGGGCGGGGCCTTACTCAGCTCGTGTCCCCAGAGCCCCGTGCAGGGCCTGGTACGGAGCGGACCGTGGCAAATGCTTGCTGAATGAACGAGCGGATGGCAGGATGACTGGGCAGAGGTATGAATGGGAGAACAGATGATTCAGCTGCTGATAAGCATGAGGCAACCGGAATCAAACGCTGGGCTGATTTCATGCTGGCCCGGCGCCGCCGAGCATCACCCAGGAAAGGCGGACATTCTCTTGGGCCTTCTGCGATGCTAAGAGAAGCTTGTGGACCTTCTAGAATCTCAGGTCAGGGCCCACAGAGCTAAAACAACACAGAAATTCAGACCTGAGGGTCTACTACTGGCCTCAGAGCCGAGTCAGTGCTCTTCTGAAAGAGGGCTGGGATGCAGGCGGCATTCACGGCCCGGTGCTGCCTGCCGGCCCTCCCTGCGGGTGCCGCGTCTCAGCGAGGAAAGGAAGGGCCTCCCGGGTTGTTCTGGGTCGATTCCTCCGAAAAGCCCGGAAAAGCCCGGCAGCCTCAGAGCTAAGTCCACGAAGGGATCCACACCCGCGGTTCAATGGTTCTCAGTGTCAGGAGCACTCGAATCACCTGGGGTTAAGAGGCAGACCCCTGAACCTGATCTGGGCGGGACCCACTCAGTGGGGCCAGGGTGGGCTCGGAATCTGCATTTAAAGCAGGGGCCCAGAGACCACACTGACGTGGCGTCCCCAATGCCTGTCGGCCTGGGTTAAAACCTGAAGGAATGAATGCCTTACCAAAACTACACCTGTAATATTTTTTGTTGAAATGTATATAAAACATGGGTGATCACACAAAACAAAAATCACCCATAAATCCAACATCCTCAGGAAACTGGTTCGCACTCTCAGTATAAACTGCCAGACTTGTGTTTATACATATATTCATGTTTTCCTAAAATAGAATCACGCTGTACCTTTTTCTAAGAACACCATAAACATATTCTCAGATCCAAGATACAGAATGTAAGTTCTATAGTTTGGTTTGTTTTACTCAGCTCCACGTCCCCGGAACCTAGCCCAATGCCTGGCATACACTAGGTGCCCAGTAAATGTTTGCTTCCTGCCTGCCAGCGAGGTCCTGGTGCAGCATCTTGCTCAGCAGCTGCGGGCACGCCATGGTGGGGGCAGTGGCCATGCCCTCAGCAGCCCCCGTGGCTGGACACTGACGTGGCTCCTCACTTTCACTCTTATAAACAATGACACAATGAACATTCTTTTCTTAGATCTTTGTTCACTCTCTTAATTATTTCCTTAGCTTATTCTCCCATGAGTAGAATGGATGACTCAAAGGCAACGACCATTTTTAAGGCCTTTGATACAACTTGCCAGGTGCCCACTGGAGACACTGCACTTAGTGCCACCTGCACGGATTCCTTGACTGTTCCTGTAGACCCCTGGCTCCAGTCTGGTCTAAGAGGCCCACTTTCCCTTCGTGCTCCCTCTCGACAGCTTATTATGGAAACATTCAAACATAAAAAACAGGGAATCCTATAATGATCTCCCATGTACCCTTCCCCAGCTTCAGTAATTACTAGCACACAGCCAACCTGTTTCATGTCTACGCCACCACTGGGGTGGGGCCCAGAATCTGCAGTTTTAAACCAGGAGCCCATAATACACAGGACAAGCTGGTTCCAGTCCCAATTACACCTTCAGGACCAATTATGCACTCCAGTTCTACAGTATAGGGCACAATTCCATGTAAGAAAGGTTCACCTTAGATTCTGCCCTCGGGGATCTCGTTCCTGGAGGTAGTTGTTGATGGTGGCTAATAAATGGCTAACATTTATTGAGCACTCACGGCGTGCCAGGCTGTGTACTGAACCCTTTGCACGCATCTCGTAAATCCTCATGGCAAGGCTGTAAGGCGGAGAGGATCCTCCCCACCTTACAGATGCAGAAACTGAGGCTGAGAGGAGTTAAATGACTTTTCCAAGGCCACAAGGCTGGGAAACAGTGGAGCAGGACCCTGGGGTCCAAAGTCCTCGTGACCACGCTGCACGGCTCTCTGGCAGCCTCCAGGGTGTGACTGCCTACCGTCCGACCGCGGACTATACACTTCCTATACGCCACGCTGAGTCCTGGGGACTGGGCGGTGGGCAAAGCACAGTGCTACCTCCCAGCTGGAGCCGCAGCCCAGAGCAACAGAGGACTGAAAGAACAGGATGACTGCAGAGAGTGGGATGTGCTAGGAAGAAAAGCAGGCTTGTCACTGGGAGTGGGGATTACTTTGCATAGGCTGGTCCTCCCCCATGAGGTGGTGGCATTTGTACAGAGACCTAAATGACAAGCAGCAGCCCGGTGGCAAGACTTGGGCATGGAAGGACCTGCACAGGGAGAGGCCCAGCAGGGGACCCAGCTTGGGAGCTGAGGACACGAGAGCCAGCCCTACGTTGGCGTCTGTTGCTCGACCTAATACGTTTTTCTTTCCACCTAAGGGAAAGCCCCAGAGAAGGCAAGGTCTTCGGTCCACACACCCTCTCTGCTCTCGCACTCTGGGCCCCCTAGCTCCGCCCCTTGCGATGTCAGGCAGCTGAGGGCTCCATCCTAGCTGAGGCGTATGTGTCTGGCCACCTTGGGACAACACACTACCTTACACAAGAATGACAATGCCCGTCCCACCATGTGAGCAGTCCTCTCCCCCTGCTACAAGCAGGCATTTGCATTAGAGCAGGGAGGTGCTGCTGAGCAATGAGGAAGCACCACTGTGTACCCGTCGGCTGCGGGAGGCAGGATGCAGGGGCTCAGGCCCGGCCGGAGGCAGCTGGGAAAGGGACAGCCAACAGCACGGGTGTAGCGGCACTGTTGTCGTGGTGAAACACGGGAGACGACAGACATTCGTAGTGATGAGACAAGCCTGAAGTAAGGCACACCAGAGCTGCTGGCTGCGCAGCTGTGCCTCCGTTACAGCCGGAAAGTAATACGATCCTGGCTGCGTGGCAATGCCAAGCACAAAAATCTGAAGGTAAACTCCTATCCACGACTTGGAGAAATAAAATGACTTCTGCTCATGGACGGGGTTTCACAGGGAAACAGAAAAATGAAAGATCTGATCTGCTGGGGAACAGGTCGTGGAGGGATGTTTTCTTTTGCTTGGATCCCTGATGGTGGGAGGGCAAATGTGTTTTCGGAAATAACAAGAAAAGCCACACAGGTGACAAAGGTAAACTCAGGTGAGGAAATAAGGGAAGTCCAGGCAGCCTCTCCAGCAGGACCTAGCAGTGGGCTGCGGGGCACCAGGCCGCACAGCCGTTCCGTGCTCATGTTCAAGGCCCCGTGCGCGTAGGCATGTAGGGGTGTGTGTGCTCATGTGCACATGTGTGCAGACGTGGCGTTCTCTTTCATGTGGGCCAAGGTGGCAGGGAGCAGGGGAGGGAGAGGACTCAGGGAGGAGCCACTGTCCATGGAAGGGGCTCCAGCAGGAGGGAGTGCTGGGGAGCCGCCAGGTGGTCCGACCTAACTGGGCCACCGACACACCTGTTCCCACGGTGCCACTCGGAGCCAGCGTGGATTCTGGTCCTGCCATTGCTCCCTGTGGGATCTCGGGTGATTATCTCAGCTAAGAGCAATGACGTGGCAGTAATGACAACAATCATGGTAACAGCTGGGACTCACTGAGTGCCTGTGATGTGCCAGGGCTGGCACGTACCTTCCTGGGGACAAGCTGTTTTTCTTCCCTTCTCCATGAGATGGAGATAATTCCACCTTCCCCCGGCTAGCTACGGGCATGGAGAGCGAGAGCCTCCCTGGCGAGCCCTCTGCCCCTCCTGCCTCCCCCTGCTGTACCCGGGACCTCGGAGCGGAGGCTGTTGCCAGCCGCAACGCGGGATACGTACGGTTGGAGGAGAGTCTGTCTGCCCCCCCGAGCGCATTGAAAGCTCCGTGGACATTCTGCACCTGTGGAGAAGCACAGTGAGGGAGGGTCCTCGGGACACCACCCCCCCAGGCCTGGACCTGGCTGGGGGACCCGTCAGGCACCCCCTGGTTTAGGGACCTTACACCTGTGCAAAAGGAAGATCCAGTAGGGTTTGTCCTGTAGAGAACTCGTGGGAGGCAAGAAACAGCACAGGCCTGGCACATAGTAGGCACTAGCTTGGTTTCCACCTTGAGCACCTACTATGTGCTACTCTGTCTTGGTCACTTCGTGTCATCTCATTTAATCCCCCTAACGATGTATATTGGGCCCATTTCACAGAAGAGTAAACCAAGCCTTGGAAAGACACCAAAACTTGCCCAGCCTATAAGTGGCTTAGCCAAACTGCAAATTCAGGTTTGACCCCAAGCCTGTGCTCTTTCCATTAAACCACGCCGAAAACTCCAGTAAAGGTGAAGTCTGGGTCCCAGCACATTCCTCCTGAGACCCCCAGAGCCCTCTGAAAGGCCCCTAGAGGAGCCCAGGGCAGGGGGGTGCCCAGAGCTGCCGGCCTCCCACCAGGCCTGCCTGCTGTGGGGAACATACAGTTGTGAAGAGACCCCTCCTCACAGCAGCTGGCCGGGCTGTGTCCCCCTGCCAGGGGATGCTGTAAAGTGGGGCTGGAAACCACATCCCACTGCGTCTTGGATGATGATAGGAAACCAGGTCAGCCTCCACGAGCACCTAAAGCAGGACAAGGCATGCCCAGTACGTGGAACATGCCACTATAGACATAGTTAACAGGACTACTGGGCTAGACACCCTGGAGGGCTTCCTGGAGGAAGTGACATTGACACCAAGATCTGGAGAAAAGAAGTTAATCAGGCAAGAGCACGTGCAAAGGCCTCAGCCTGGAGCCTGAGGAGCAGACAGGTCCGTGTGGCCCCAGGGAGGAAGGGGAGTGAGGTGTGGGAAGGAGCAAACATTAGAGATGTAGGTGGGCACAGACTCCAGAGAGGGCCGCCCCGGGAGCAGCCAGCAGCAGGTAGGTGACCTGAGCCCTGATCCTGGTCTCGGAGGCTGATGTTTATTGAGCACTTGACTCTCAACAAGCCAAGAGAAAAGGAAACGTGCACATCTGTTGTCTTGGGCATGACCACCTGCATACTGCGGCTCTAACCCACAAGGACAGTGGTTACAGGGACCCGAGTGGGAGAACGTTCCTTCCACTGTAGTGCGTCACGGTGTCATCTCAAATACAATCTGTATGGTTGTCTGGTTAACATGTGTCTTCCTCTCTAGACCGGAAGCTCCACATGGGCGGGTGCCACGCGTGTCCTCACCAACATGTGCAAGGCCTGGCACACAGTAGGTATTCAATAAATGTTTGAGTGGGTGCATGGACATCAATGCACGGATGGATGGATGGGCCCTGAGTTAACTTTTGTATCTTTACGAGATCAGGTTTCCGCACAATAACAACTAAGCTCAGGTCTGTGGCTGGCTGGCTGTTTTTGCCACCGAACGCAGCAACGAGAGACTGCTCCCCCTTCCTCTTCAGCCTGTCCTCTTCTCTCCCCTCTAACCTGCCTCGGTCTGGGCCCTTCCTCACCTCCCTGCCTCCAGTCTTGCCTCCTGGGCCCATCCTCGCCATGGCAGATGGGTGCTCTAAGTCACCAGACTGACCCTGTCGGTCCCCACTGAATCTAACACGGGTCACCTGCCACATAAAACCCCAGCTCCCTGCTTCCGGTGGACACTTCTGAGCCCTTTCAGCCAACTTTGAGGACATGAGGACTCTTTGTCCTACGGCCTCTGACATCTCACATCATGCTGGAGTCACAGACACTTTTTGATCTATTTTTCTGAAAGTAAACTCCAGGGTATGGGGGGCAGATCCCATGTGAATCTGCCTGCAGGGGTGAGTCCACAGTCCCAGGATGGGCTGTGCTTCATAGAGAACGTGGACAGGGAGTCTGGCCCATGGCACGCAGGGAGGCCAGGCTCCTGAGCTCTGCGTCCGAGAGGAAAACCCCCAAGGCCAGCAAAGCAATAGGAAGGTGCTGGCCGGGCACCTCAGGCTGGGCACAGGCCCCCAACAAGAAGAAAACGCAAGCAAGCGTGACAAATGCACAAAGGAAATGTGGGAGGGGGAATGTGCCGGGGGTGTGTACTCGGGCACGCGTGCAAGGGAGGCTGTGCCGGTAGTGGGGTCTGAAGCTGGACTGTTGGGATTCGAACCCAGGCTCTGCAACAGACTGCAGCCTCTCTGTGGTTTCCTCAGTTACCCCCTCTGTAAAATGGGACAATAGCAGTACCTACTTCTTGGGCTGCTAAGAGACCAAAGGAAGACTGTGCTTAGAAAGCATGGCGCTTGACACAGGGAGCATTCAGCCACGATCGGGAAGTCCTGTTTCCAATGTACATACGTGTGGGTGGGGGCAGATGTGCGCGTGTGTGTGTGTGTGTGTGTGTGCGCGCGCGTGTGTGAGAGAGTCTGTATTTGAGAGGCCCCGGGTGAGTCTGTGCACGTCTCTGGGGGGTGTGTGTTGGGGAAGAGTCTCGGGGTACACACAGGCACGCATATGTTGGGGCACAGCTCTGAATGTGCCTCTGCTGAGTGTGTGAGCGTCTGAGCAGACACGGGCCCATGTGTTGTGGTGCCACGCGTGTGCTCACGGGCACACGTGGGCCTATGTGCACATAGTTATGCCAGGAGGCGCCCACTAAGCAACCTCAGCCAGGAAGTCCGGAATCTCGTGGAGCAAGGCGAGGGGCAGGACCCAGGGGTTCCGATCCTAGCAACGTGGCCGGGAGCAATGACGTTCCCCTCCTGAGCCCAGATCCCCGTGTGCAACAGGGTGTGACAGAAGTTGCCTTCAGGACTGCCGTGGGAGGGGAGCAGAGAGAGCGGCGCAGCCCCCACCTGCACCTGCCAGAGAGCAGGTGGGGAGCGTTTGGGCCTTTGCTGCACGTTCTAAGGTAGGAAACTGCCGGCTGGAACTGCCAAAGGCGGCCCTCTCAGAATATTCCATTGCCCCTGTTTGGTGGGCGGGCACTGAGCGTAGGCAGAGACGGCTGCGTGGGGCACGGGCTGGAGTCGGACCTACGTACCATACCGGGGACCCTGGACAGACGGTTTCTCTGGGCCCGGCATCCGCGTCTGCAGAGTGGGGTGCTCCCACCTGCCTCTTGTGGCTGCACTCGGTACTTGTCATTAAAGGTGAGTCCCGCCCCCTCCGGCCCCCAGGTCTCAGCCTGAGCCCCCAAGTCCAGGACGGGGCCAACAGGACTGCAGCCGAGCACGAGGACGCAGCGAGGCGCTGGCCGAGGAAGCAGAGCGCAAACGAGTGAACCCAGAGGAGGGCACCTCCCACACCCAGGGAGGACACCGGGTGACACGGCCCCTGCACGCCCACCACTGGCCACACCACCTCAAGAGTCCCCTGCTCACCTGTAGCGTGTCCCCAAAGGAGAGTTTGTGGATGACATGCGTCATGTCTGGGTTCTGTGGCTGGGCGGTGGCGCTGTGTGTGGACACGTGGAAGTTGCCGGGGACCTGGGGGGGACATGCAAGAGTTAGGAGTTTGGCTGGCCATCCCCGGGAGTGGGGTGCAGGGCTCCACCCCGTGGGAGTCAGCCAGTCCCGAGCGTGGGTCCCGGCCTGTACCATTTCCAACCGTGTGCAGCTTACCTCTCTGAGCCCCGGTTCACACCGTGGATGGGGGCACGGACAGCAGTGACCCGAGGGGTGGCTGGGCCGTCTGCTGAAAGAATGCACGTGACTCGCCCGCCTGGTGGCTGACACAAGCCAGGACTCAGACAGCAGCTCTCCCCTCCAGCCCCGTGCGTTCTGGGCTGCTGGCCTTGCGCCGGGCTGGAACGTGGCCCTGGAGCCTGCAGCCCAGCGGGGCTTCTCGAATCCAAACCGAGATCACCACCTACCCACCTCTACCCTGTTGTCCCAGCCAGGGGGATCCCCAGAGGACAGACTGCGTAGCCTCACTTCTCCCCTGGGACTCGGCCCTCGCAGAACCTCGCCTGTGAGAAGCAATGAATGTCTACAGAACGAACGACGCCGACGACAATCGTGTATCCAGAGCCTCCACCCATTCTCTCTCGGCCTCCCTGTTTCAGCAAAAGGTCCTTCCTCCTCCGCCCAGATGCCCAAACCGAAACCTTTGTGTCACCTGGGAGGCCCACTTCCCCCACCTGACAGCCCAGCCATCAAGAAACCCGTCAGCTCCACCTTCAAAACACACCTGGCATCTGACCGCTTCTTCTCCCCTGGTCCAAGGTCCTCTGCATGGACAATGACAGCAGCTTCCTCCCTGGGCTCCCAGCTGTGTCCTCCCCTGAACACAGACCTCTCCCCAACAGGGACCAGAGAGGTCTTTCTAAATCCTACTCCTTATCTGGTCACTCCTCTCCCCAGAACCCTCCCAGGCTTCTATTCTCTCAGAGTTGAAGAGAGAATGGTGGCCCATGTCCTCGTCTGCTTCCTCCTACCAGAATGCGAGCTCCACGCCAGCAGGGACTTTTGTGTTTTGTTCCCTGATGCTCTCCCCGGACCCAGCACGTAGCAGGTGCTCAGTAAATACTGATGGAATGAACGAACAAATGACATTTAATCTTTTGACTCTGACTTTGGTACGTGATAATTCCCACTTTACAGATAAGGAAACTGAGGCTCAGAGCAGTGAAGAAACTAGCGAAGGTCACATGTGGAGAGCTGAGTTTGATCTCACGTCTTCTGGACATGCTGCCCCTTCCCACTGACGCCTGGACGCCTGTTACCCAGCAGCTCCAGGCCGATGGGCACGTGGAGCCAGGCCTTCAGGAGGTGCCAGAACTAGAGAGGTGACTGGACAAGAGGCTGGCCCCAGCCAAGGCGCCGGCCCGCTGCAACTCAGACTTGGAGGAGACAGTGAGGTTCTGCACGATCCACACTGGCCCACAGCAACCTGCAGACCGTGGGGGTTGCACTCAGTCAAGGGTGTGGGTCATGTTCAGGGAGGTGTCCCAGGAGAAAGAACGCCTTTGTGCTAAGGCCCCAAAGCGGTCTGCGTCGCTCAGGAAGACAGAGCAAGGCATCCGGCAGGGCTGCCGGCATGGACACATGCAGAGGCCAGAGACTGCCCAGCACATGGCCGTGTCTCAGGAACTAGAAGGATTTGGTATCGTTGAAGTCCAAAAAAGAATGGAGCCTGGGCACGGTGGCTCACGCCTGTAATCCTAGCACTCTGGGAGGCCAAGGCAGGACAATCACTTGAGCTCAGGACCTCGAGACCAACCAGAGCAAGAACAAGACCCCATCTCTATTAAAAATAGAAAAATTAGCTGGACGTAGTGGTGCAAACCTTCTCCCAGCTACTTGGGAGGCTGTGGTAGGAGGATCACTTGAGCCCAGGAGTTTGAGGTTGCTGTGAGCTAGGCTGATGCCACAGCACTCTACCCAGGGTGACAGAGCAAGACTCTGTCTCTTTAAAAAAAAAAAAGAGAGAGAGACGGGCCTGGGTGGTGGTAGCCACAGGGAAACAGAGGCACAAGAGAGGCATGGAGGCTGTTCATCAAAGGCCCCAAATGCCGCACTGGAAAACCTCCGGGGTTATCTTATCCCAGCTGGAGGAAGGAGACTGAGTGAGGAGGCTGCATTAGGGAAGGAACACGGCTCCCGGCTCACTGTGCAGCCGTCCGTCGGAGACTGCTGATCTTGCAAGTGCGTCTGTTTCAAAGACGACTTCCCGCAGGAACATTCCTACTTCGGCAGGGCCTGAGCTCAGACTGACAAGGGAGGTATCGGGCTGACAGAACGGGGCCTGGTCCTGGCCTCCGGCCTGTGCGCTCGCTGGTGAGCGTGCTGCAGGACAGCGTGCAGAAGGGACACGCACGGGGTCTGGAGTGGGGCAGGAACAACAGCTCGGCGAGATCTCCCTGGAGGGACGGCATCGCCTGCTTCAGGGACCCAGTAACGCAGGCTAGAGCAGAGGCGGCTCTGAGTCTAGACGTGGGCCCAAGCCAGCCCCACTTCCTAGCTGGGGGCCCCTAGGCAAGGTCAGTAACCACTCTGTGCCTCAGTTTCCCCATCGCAAAATGGGGATAATAACTACACAGGGTTATTGGGAGGATTTGGTGAAATGATGCATGCAAAGCAGTTGGCAGTTATTACAGGTTTGTAAGATGAACAGGTTTGTCATCACAGACAACAGAGAAGGGCCCTTCTGGAAAAGAGAATAGCATGTACACAGGCAGGGCATGAGGAAAAGCCCGTTGTGTTCAAAAATAATTTTTTGGAGGGGTAGAGATGGAGATCTCGCTATGTTGCCCAGGCTGGTCTTGAATGCTTGCTATTGAGATCCTCCCGTGGAGCTAGGATTATAGGCATGAGCCACTGCGCCCAGCCTCCAAAAATTTAAACTTCATTTTCACTGATATAAACAATACCTGGATATGTTTTCATTACAAAATATTCACAAGATACAGCCGGCACTAAGTCCCTGTTGCCCACCAGCCCTGGAAGGCAGAAGCAGGGCCACCGCAGGGTTCAGAATGGGCTGGGCCCTGGGCCTCCTGCCCCCAGAGCTAAGTGAGTCAAGGAGCTGGCCCCTGGGCATCTGCCACCTGCCGCCAGGCCCACCAGGCTGTGACTCAGTAACCCACTCCCACTGCACGCCAGATCCATCGCCGGCGCTGACTCATGCCAGCACACGCTGGGCTGCAGAAAGAGAGAGGACGCTTTTAGAGCCTGTGACCGAGGAACCTACGTCAGCATCTCCGACGGATTTCAAAAACATATAGCTAGAGCCAGCCCCACCCCCGCGCCCGGTCCCGCGCTCCTCCCGAGGGCTGGCTGGTGAAGTGAGGGCGCCACGCGGTCTCAGGTGGGGGTTGGGCTGCAGCTCAAAACGCTGACATCTGGCTGCTGGCCAGCTTGCTGATGGATGGATGAGAAGGCCACCGGGCCATCTGCGCCCAAAGCTGGGCGCGAGAGAGCGGGCGCCAGCTGCTGACCTTGCCGTCACAGTGCACGGTCACCGTGCCGTCCTTAGCGGCACCCCTTGCTGGGCGGCTCCTCAAAGGCGTCCCTTAACGAGGGATGGGGGTCTCCACTCCCTCCAAGGCTCTGGGGCAGAGGGGGCCCGGCTGTGGCCCGGGTACACCGCACAGCTGTCACGGCACGTGCAGCTGAGGTGTTGGGAGAAGCAGCCGCAGGCAGAGGCCACGGGTAAAGAGCCAGGGCCCTGGGGCCAGGTTGCTGGGGTCAGCCCTGGCCTGTGACCTTGACCAGGCACTTAATCTCCTGTGCCTGTTTTCTCCAGGCTGCTGCGAGGATTGAGTCGCTACGTGGAAAGGGCCAAGTAAGGACCTAGGAGGTGACAGCCATGACACGACGGCTGGTGTGGCCCTTTCAGAGCATCCCTGGCCCTCCCCTGACCGCAGAAGGCCTGTTTCTTGGACGTCCTCCATGTACTTTTTACAGGCACGCTTGAACCCAGGTGACGCGGGTTCCCGTGACGCGGCGGTCGTGGGAGCGCCCCACTGGTAAGGCAGGCCGGGGAGAGACACCGATGCTTATCTAGTCCCTACTGCGCTAAGTGTTTTATGTGTTTTAATCTGTTCATGTCTCACAACCTGTGAGGTCAGTAGTATTACCCCCATCTTACAGATGAGGAAACTGAGACCCAGAGAAGCTAAACTGCCCAGTCATTCGACCAGTGAGCATTATCACCAGCATCCTTGACCACAGGTCTGTCTGACCCCAAAGGGCAAGTTCTGGTTCACCCAGAGCCAGCTGGGGGGCCCAACACAGCCCATTCTAAGGGGAGCAGACTGCAGCCTTGGGCATGTTAGCCAAGAGGTGGGTGAGGGGTGGGGCGTCTCCTGGGCTGTCTGTCATCCTGGGTGCTGGGATGGCCTGAATAAATGTGGTCCCTCCCTGATCCCCATCTGGGGCGTGCTTATTTTTTCATCCGTGGCCTCTCCAGGGGAGGCCCCACAGTTAGAGAAGCACGTGTGGGTCTGTTCATCCTCCCCGGCCCCCAGACAGGCCCTCCCTGGTCACCTTCCCTCGGGGGCTCCTTCTCACTCTCCACCGCCGCACCCCCACCGTCCTCACAGCTGCTGTCAAAGTTCCCCTGTTCATCTGGGTGTTGTCTGTCAGCCCAGGAGAGACCACGGCCACCAAGGGCGGGGCCAGGGATGTGACTCTCAGCACCCTGGCCCAGTGCCGAGCCGGGCCAGGCATGCAGTGGACGCCCGACAGCACAGAATCTGAGCAACTGAGTCAGAGAGGGGGCAACGGGCGAAAGCAGCCAAGAAACACAAGTCCAGAGGAGGAAACAGACCACAGCAGCGGTGTGACGCGGGTGGCGGCGGGTGCGCATGCGCTGGGAAGGGAGGGCGGGCTTCCGAGAGGGACCCGCGTCAAGTGAGACCTGTGGGCGAGCGCAGCTCCCCAGGAGGAGGAGGAGGAGGAGGAGGAGGAGGAGGAAGGGACAGAGAGAGGGTATGGCGCCCCGAAGAGCTGGGGCCCACGGCCAACCCCACCCCACCCCGGCCTGCACTGTGCCCTCGCCCGCCTCTGCCCCTGCAAGGCCTTCAACCCCTGACTCGCGGCCTCGGTCCCCTGCCTCCCAAGGATGTGGTCCTGCAGCAGCCCGGCTCCCCCTGCACATCCTCTCCCCACACGGGTCAGTGGCCCGCCCTGGCCTCGCCTTCCCCAACCTCGCAGCACGGCCTCCTCTCTGATATGTGATGTTCGGATCCAGATTCCAGTCCTGGCCTCCTCCTACCTGTCTGACTGCTCCTTCTCACACCTCTTGTTACCCCTTCATCTCCCCCCTGCTAAGTGGTGGCTGCACCAGAATTCAGTCCGCAATCTGCATTTCTTTTGAGACCTTAGGTTCTTAATGTTTCTGGTGCCATGGACGACCCTTTGCCAGTCTGACGGCACCTATGCTTTAAATGCTTACGGTGTTTTAATCCATAAAACACACAAGATTGCAAAGGAGATCATATTTAAATAGTAGTTAAAATACTAAAAAAACACATTTAAATATGCTACTTTCTTTTTTTGAGACAGGGTCTTGCTGTGTTCCCCGGGCTAGAGCGCATCACTACACTGCTTTCTTGATGCATCAAATAACAGGACCTAGTGGTGGGTTAAATAATTACTATAATTTTGAAGCAGTGATGTATGTAAACAGTATCTCAAAATTATCTGCAATAATTGCAACGTGACATAAATATCGGCCACTTCCGTCGGTGACAAAGTCAAGGGTGCTGATACTGCTGCTGTGGTTTGCTGCCCGTGTTCATCATAGAAGGAAATGCTAAATTTGAGTTACGGCTTAGTCAAAATAAAGATGTCATTTTTGACCCCATCCAAGCTCACGGACCCCTTGAACTCAATCTGTACTCCTTGGAGTGTCTGCGGACCCAGGTTTAGAACAAGGCTCTACTCTCTCCCTTTAGGCAATCTTGCTTAAACTAGTGATCCTTAAACTTCAGTGGCAACAGGATCTCCAGGAGTGGCTGGTAAGCCACAGCGTCCGCCATACAGAAAGCGAATGGGGGGTCAGGGGTGGTGGCTCACACCTGTGGTCCCAGCACTTTGGGAGGCTGAGGCGGGAGGATCGCTCGAGAGCCCAGAAGTTCGAGACCAGCCTGAGCAACAGAGCAAGACCCGGGAGGGCTGTTGCAACACAGATTCAGCAGGTCTGAGGCGGGGCCCAAGAATCCGCATTCCTGTAAGCTCCCCGGTGACGACGCTGCTGGTCTGGGAGCCCCACTCCGAGTAGCACTGAGACCTGCGGCTTCCAGCACCATCCACTCCCTGACGACTACCACCTCCACATCTGCAGCCCAGAACCCTCTCCTGAACTCCAGAAACACTAATCCAGCGTCCAGGCTAACACCGCCCCGTAGACACCTGACGGGAGTCTCCAACGACACCCGAGGTGAATGCCTGACGCCAGCCCTACCACTTCAGTCTGCACGTTTCCAAGCTTCCACCTCTAGAAAACGGGAGCCTGGTTGTCAAGACGAAAACTTAAGAAGTTTCTCTGAATCCACGCTTGCCCTCCCCCTACATCCCATTCCTCATTCAGTCTTATTGATCTTACATCCCGAGTCTGCCCACGGCTCTGATTCCACTGCCTCAGCCACTGCCCGTGACCTCTGCTCTTGGCCCCCTCCGGCCCGCCTGCAAGCAGCTGCCAGAGTGATCGCCGGGCAGCTGTGCTGTCCAGCAGAACTTGCCTCAAGGTGGAAATGCCCCCTATCCGCACTGCCTCCTGCGCTGGCCCCAGAGCTTATCGCCGACCCTGGAACGCAGAAGGTTCTCAATACATTTTTCCTGACAGAATGAATGAATATCAGCTCATGCCATCCTCGCACCAACTATGTGGCGTGGGTGGTATCATGATGTTGTTGTTACCACCACACCCTCACCCCAAGATGGGTCAGGTGATGTGTAGGGCATTGCTTGGCCAAGAGTGGGTAGAGCTGGGACTTGAACCCAGGACGCAGGCTGCAAATCCTAAGGCCTTCTCACCGCCTGCTGTCTTCCCCGTTGGGGAGGAAAGTAGCCCCTTCCTAAGCCAGCCAGCTGAGGCTTAAAACCTCACGGAGCCTGAAACCCCCACCCAGATTCTCGGCAGCAGCTGCCAGGTGGCCGGACAGGGACCCTCACTTGCCGCGGGCTCTGTCGGGTCAGGTCGAAGGGGCACACACCTCCACCAACCAGTTCACAGGAAGGAAGGGGATGGAGTGAACGGGTAAGAGGGGCTGGGCAGGGTCTCCATACCTTGTTGATGCTGAACTGTCCCTCGAAGCGGCACCCTGCCCCATTGTTCAAAGGGATCTTCATGGAGTTGTCGATGTGGCCCACCTCGTGCCTGCCCATCTCATCCTGAATGTCCAGCCCGACCACTGCGGGGTCCAACGGGAGGCGAGAGTCACAAACCCGAAGACACGGAGGGTGGGGACCAGCCCCTCCTCATTCACCCGTTCCACGGACAGGCCGGGCCTGGGGCCCTCCGGGAGCGCATGGTCTGGGATCCAAAGATGACAGGGTGCAGGGCGATGACTGCTCAGTGCGAGGCTACGGGGAGGCAGTGGACAGCAGGGGCTCCGAGGGGCACACCGTCATCTGAATCCTGGCTCTGCCTTTTACCTTCCCTGCAATCTCGACTCAGGTACTTAACTCTGGATGCCTCAGTTTCTCTATAAAATGGAGCTGGTAGCAGTGGAACCCTCCTTGCAGGATCATGAGGATCAAGTAGCAGACAGGTGCAGAGAATGCTCGGAACAGGGTCTGGTGCACGGTACACGGAAAGTGCGTAGTAAACGTTAGCCCTTACTGCCCCTCAGACAGCCCCCAGGCTCATGGTGTGAGCAGGCTCCAGGCTAGGCCTGCGCCGACCATTCCTGTGCCCCACGCCATGCCGCCCCACGGGTCTGCAGTACGGGACAGCGCCAGGCGCAGGAAGGGAAAGACAGCCCCCGGGCTCATGGTGTGAGCAGGCTCCAGGTTAGGACTGCGCCGGCCAACCTTAGCGGGGAAAGGGAGCCGCCCCGAGCCCCTCCGTGGGGATGGGGGTAAGGGCCCACCCACAGACGGGAACGTGAGGCCGCCCCGGTCTGCAGTTGGGGGAAATGCTAACACTTAATGTTACGTTTAAAGAAATGTGAGAGGTCCCTGTGTGGGCAGTTCCAAGCCTGGTCCTCCAGACACACACGCGTGTGTCGGATGCGTGTGCAAGGCTGCTTTGGGCATCTCATGTGAAATCGGGACAACTGAAGGCAAGCCAACCGCCCGTCACGGGGACAGCAGGGGAGCAGCCCCTCACGATGCTGTAGAGGCGCCAAGAACGGAGCGCAGGCCCCAGCAGCGCAGTGGCGGCTCACAGCGCTGGGACCTCAGGCAGGCTACCCAACTGCTCCGTGCCTCAGTTTCCTCCTTTACCCATGCTCATTGTGAGGATTAAAGAAAATTAAAACAGCACTTACTATGTGCTAGACTCGCTTTTATAATAAGTGCCTTTTAAGTGAGACCTCACCATCTGAACATCCCTGTGGGGAAGATAATACCTGCATTTGGGGAAACCAAGGCACAGAGGTCTCACAGGCAAGAAAGGACAACGCCTGGACTGAAATCCAAGTGGCCTTGCTCCAGAGCCCACACCCTCTAGCCACTCTGCTAGGTCACCTCGCACCCCAGGGCATCAACACAGCCGAAGGGTGCAGGGCCGGGCCCGGCCGGGGACAGGAACTAAGAAATGGCAGCTCTTGCTATTTCACTCATATTCTGAGTAATATAAGAACAGCTCCAAGATGTTATCTGAAAAAAAGAGAAACTCCAGAGGGTCCCACATCATAGAATCCCAATTATGTAAAAAGAAAAATAAAACAACCCAAGCACAATGTATGTCTACACACACACACACACACACACACACACACGCACACGCGAGCACACATGCACACACACGCACACGCAGGGCTGGGGAGATGAGCCCCAGCTGCCAGCTGAGGCTTCCTTTGGGAGGTGATGTGCTGGGAGCAGGGGAGGGGCACTTTTACTTTTTTTTTTTCAGCTTCTTAAATATATTTTTATATTTTTGAATGTGTGTCTTTTAAAAAATAAAACAGAGCGTTCCTGCATTAGCTGTGTAATTAAGAATATTATTTTTAAAAGCAGGATATGAGATCGCACACGCAGCATGATCTCAGCCATGTTCAGAAATGCACAGAAAGGAAGGCCAGCTGGACAGAATGATGTCAAAAAGTCAACCAACACTGTCATCAGGTGGTGAAATTATGGGTGATTTCTTCTCCCTGCTTCTCTGGATTTTCCAGAGGTACAATGATGAGCATACACTTTTCAAAAGAACTTGCAGTTCTCTTAAACCAACGCCAGGACGCTGGGCCGAGGGTGGGGGGGGGCGGGGGGGGGGTTCAGGTTCTAGTCCCGAAGACACCACGTGTCTGGTGGGGCTGGGGCAGAGGGGCCGGCACAGCGGGGCCTGAGGCCCCCGGCCCCTCCCACCGCCCCACCCTCCCGGTCCTCTGCTCTAAGAGTTTCCTTGCTCCAGAGACACAATCAGCTCCTGAGTGAGAAGCTGCCAGATGAATTATTTTTCTAAGTAAAAGAGAAAAAAAATAAATAAATAAAACTGGCCTATTTCAATGGGTTCCCTGGCTCGGGGCCACCGAGGATTCAGAATTGTGACGTAATTCTCACCAAGAGCAACAACAGGACTAGGCCTCTCCCTCTCCCTGCTCTGCCCGAAGCTGTGCCCTTTCACGGGGTGGGGGCGGGGCGGGGGGGGGGGGCTGAGGGCCTGCGGAAGGGTCCGTGCCAGGCTGGGCGTGGGATGGCGGGAGCTCCTGCCCAGGGGAAGATGCACAGCCCACTGGCTAACAAGTCTAGGGACCACCTCGTCACACTCTCCCAGCAACCTCAGGCCTATATGGATGCTACTGAGCCTATTTTACAGATGAGCAAACTGAGGCTCGCAGATCACCTTAGCCAGGGGCACAGTCTCAGCTACGGTGCCAGGACTGACTCTGAATCGGACTTTGAATGAGCTTTGTTTTACACAAGTCATTTATTCTCTTGGTTAAAACAAGCAGCAACGAAATGGATGTGAAGTAAAAAGGAAGTTTCCCGGCTCTCCCCGCCACAGGTGCTGCGGAGCCCTGTCCTGCCTGTCACAAGGTGCCGCCCACCGCCGTGCCCACAAGCGCCGGCGCGCACAGCTCGGCGCTGCGCCGTCAGCAGACGGATGCTTGGGTCACTGGCAGTCTGCTTGCTTGAGATGCTGGGGAGGTTATGCGGCCCCCCAAAACACATCACCCTGCAGCCATTAGCCAAGGACGTGGACGGTGACAGCCTGGTCCCGACTACTGGGTGGGACAGACGCTGTGGTGTCATTCACACCCCACAGCATCCTGTGTGAGATCGGGCTGATATTGGACTTGAGCTGAACACACACCTTTGCGCATCCTCTTGCCCTGCCCCGAGTCCCTCGCTCCCTATGGCTTCCTGCTCTCGATAAATCACCTGCATGAGAATCTTGGGCGCTGCAGCTGAGGCACAGCACCTGAGAGACACGCCCCACTTCCCTGCACCAACGTGGCTGCTCTCCAGGGGCAACCCCTGTGGGTAGTTTCTTGTGGTTTTTATGCCAGAAAAGCTCTAAGTGCATGTATGCCAATTACACCTGCCTCAAAGGAAGGGCGGGGAGAACCACATGCTACATGCAGTTTGCAGCTTGCCCTCCAAGCTCACTCGGCCCAGAGATCTTGCCACTTCTGCGCACGCAGATTAGCCCACAGGGGGGTCTTGCCAGAGGGAGGGCTGCAGGGAATACTCACGTTCACAGTGCAGATTGGGTAAACTGATGTTCAGGCTGACGTCAATCTTGCCCCCGCTGTCCTTATCTGGGTCATCGACGTACAGCTCGTTCACGCTGTGGGACGGACAAACACAGAAACGCTCACTGAGAAGCGGGCACGGACCCCAGCGGCAGCGGACAGCCAGGGGCCCTTCGCCTGGTGAGCGCTGCTCAGATAACCCAGACTCCCCCTGGGCAAGGACACTGCGCGCTCAGGCTCCAGTTCCCGTCTCGGTCACGCTCTGCAAATGCTTTCCTGCCGCTCAGAGCAAAGGCACCTCTGGGCTCACCTCCACGAATCCCTCTGTTAAGTGGGGATGACACCCCACCCCAAGTCGGTGGTTTGACACTGAGCCGAGAAACGCAGGTGTGGGGCGGGACGGGCCGGCACCGCAGGCGCGCAGTACCTCACTGCCCCTCCCCTGCCCCTCAGTACCTCACTGCCCCTCCCCTGCCCTCCCGGCCGCGCAGTACCTCACTGCCCCTCCCCTGCCCTCCTGGCCGGCGGCCGCGCAGTACCTCACTGCCCCTCCCCTGCCCCTCAGTACCTCACTGCCCCTCCCCTGCCCTCCCGGCCGCGCAGTACCTCACTGCTCCTCCCCTGCCCTCCCGGCCGCGCAGTACCTCACTGCCCCTCCCCTGCCCTCCCGGCCGGCGGGCGCGGGCGCTCACCTGCAACGGCCCTGGCGGAACTGCTCGGAGAAATCGCTTGACAGCTGTGTGAGTTTCCTGTGGCCCCCCACACGCTATCACAAAACTGATGGCTTAAAACAACACAAACTTAGCTTCTACTCTTGGGGGTCAGAAGCCTAAAGTGGGTCCACAGGGCTGTGTTTGGGGGAGAATCCGTTCTCTCGCCTTTCCCAGCTTCTACAAGCTCCGGCCCCTTCCTCGACCTCTGACCTCCTGCCCCTCTCTCGGGGGCTCTGTGATTTCGTCTGACCCCCTGGATAACCCAGTCTTCCCTCCCAGCTCCAAAGCCTTACGGTAACAGAGCCACAAGTTTCAGGGACAGGGACACAGACATCTTTGGGGCAAGAGGTCATTATTCTGTTGCCCACAATGGCCACAGTTAGAGGGCAGGTGGCTCCACAGCCACACCACCTTGCTGTCAGGGACAGTGGCGCAATATCGCCACCTGTTAGCCACCCACGCTTGTTCCACAGAGACTTTTTTGAACACCAACTACCTGTTAGGCACCAGAAACAGCGAAGACCAGACAGACGCGGTCTCTGCCTTCATCGGGCTCACAGACGCAAGAGCCAGACGTTGCTCACCTCCTAAATAAATGTGCTGCCACCAACGAAGACCAGCGTGTTGACGGAAAGCTGTAGGGGACCCTGAGAGGGACTAAAGCAGGGTCCTCAAACTACGGCCCACGGGCCACATGTGGCCTGCCAAGGACATTTATCTGGCCACCAGGTGTTTTTGCCGCCGCTGCCTGTCCTGCTTAGCAGCCGAGTGGTCCCGGGCCCGCAGTGCGCATGTGTGGAATGTGCGCCGCACCCTCCAACGGCCTCCAACGGTCTGAGCGACAGTGAACTGGCCCCTCATTTAAAAAGTTTGAGGACCCTGGACTGAAGGGACAGACCTTTGGGGAGACTGCTCTGAGATGCGAGTTGAGGTCCGGAGGACGAGCAGGTGCCGACCAGGCAGCGAGTGCGAAGCCTGGAGGTGGGGAGGGCGTGGCTCATTTGGGGAACTGAATGAAGGTCCCCGTGGCTGCAGTGCAAGAGCGAGGGAAGTGTGGCGTGTGACGCAGTCGGGGCGGGGGCAGCGAGGCCAGACTGGAGGCTGAGCCAGCCACGTGGGCAGGCTCGCGCTTCTGGGTTCCCCCTGGCTGCCTCGAGGACCCACTGGAGGCGCCAGTGTGTGGCACGAAGACCAGCTGGGAGAGGATGGCACTTCAGGCAGCATGTGATGGGAGCAGAGAGGAGGACGGGCTGCAGGACACAGCGTGGGGCAGGCAGGACGTGCTGACGGATGGACGTGGGGTGCACCGAGGAGGCATGTGCGTGGACTGTCAGGTTTCTTTCTGGACCCACGCGTGGGGCTGGGAGCCCCTGGAAGAGGACTGGGGCGGGAGGCACCAAAGCCAGAGCTGAGCCGAGCCCGAGCTGTCCTGGAGAGCTCCCTGAGGAGCTGCCCAGTGGACATGGATGTGTCCCCACGAGGAGAGGGAAACAGACCTGACGGCCCGGCCTGGAGCAGTGCCGGGGGGCTGGGCTCTGGCTGGGCCCGGCTGTGCCACAAGGGACGATCACCGCACTAAGCAATCAGACTCTGAGCTTTGTGAATGGCCGCATGTCTCAGGGAAAGAACGAGTCAGACCAGGGCAAGGTAATTTTGTTTTTACTGAGACCCCATCTTTGTGCCCCCAGCACCCGCTGCGATGTAGCTGGTGCTCCATGAACACGGTGGGCTCAGAAGGACAGCCAGGGCTTGTTTCCTGCTGAGGGCCACCAGGATATTCCCAGAGACATGAGCCCAGCAGACAGGGCTCGGCCTTCAGACAGCAGGCCCCTGCCTGGTAACATGCATCCACGTTATCCCATCTGCTCCGGTGAAATGGCCTGACCCTCATTTTAAAACCAGGAAATTGAGGCTCAGAGAGGGTGTGTCCCAACCCCAAGGTCACACAGCAGGAAGTAGCTGAGCTAGACTCTCAACCCCAGGCTTCCTACAGCTCATGCTGCCTCCCTGCCCTCAGCATCCAGGGCCAAGGGGGAAAACGAGGGGAGCCCTGGCCCTGGGAGGCCACATGGTGTGGGGAGGGGAGACAGAGGCCAGTGCTTGGCACGGCTCACAGTGCTTGGCCTGTGTCAGATGCCACCAAGAGCACACAGGAGAGGAGTGAGGCTGGAGGAAGATGGGTTTCCCTGCAGCCAAGGGCTCTGCCTTAGCCTTCAGCACCCAATTTCCACCCCAGCCTTAATTGGCAACTCTGGAGGTTGTTGAGTAACGAAATTGCCAGGTGATTAACGCCACGGTCACCCAGGGAGAGCCGCTGGCTTCCCTGCCCGGCTGGGACTCTTCCTTCAAGCTACTCACCTTTCCCACCTGGCCAGGCTGGGCCTCCGCACATCACTGAGGGACTGTGGGATGATGTCACCCCTGCTAATCCTCTGGAGGTGACCTCAACGAACGGCAAGGTGAATCCCAGGGGTGGCGCCAAAGTGAGCTCACCCGCCAGGCCCAGGCGGCCTCTCCCAGGCATGGGTCCCCGTCTTCCTAACCAGAACGAACAGGGGCAGGCTCCCCAGGGCTGAAGGGCCACGCAGAACAAAGGGGCTGCGGTGCAGCCAGTCTGGTTATGTAAGGCAGGGACCCGCTGCTCCCCGGCTCCTTCCTGGAGGGCCCGGCTCCGGGATAAACACGGCTCAGTCACCTGTGCTGCCCGATGAGGTCAACACGCCGCCTTCCAGTCCAAGGCAAACGTTCCCTGGCTGCTGGCTTCCTGCCACCGCCGCCCCGGGGCAGAGGCCTGCCAAGGCTCACTGACTTTACTGGCTGGGACCGATCTGATTTTAAAAGGCCAATGGGCTGCCGGCAGTCAGTCTACCTGCAATAAAAATAAATGTTTTTGTGGCTCCACTGCGGTTCGAGGACTCCTGTGGGCCTGACTCCTGCTAACTGGCGTGAGCGACAAGGAGACCCTCGGCAGCAGTGGCGGACAGGTGCGGGTTCACCCCCCCAGCGCTGGCACGCAGAGGCTGGCAGACCTGGGACAAGTCGCTTCACCCCCCTGAGCCTCAGTTTCCTCTCTGTTAAAACTGGAAAAGCTTTCGATGTTGTTTAAAATAGGCAAATCTATGGGGCTAGTGACGGGGAAGGGCTCATGGGAACCTTCCCAGTGACGGAAAGGTGTGTGTTGATCAGGGTGATGGGTACATGGGGGTAAACACAGGTGAAAGCGCATCAACCCTCTACCTTAAGGGTTCTGCACTTTGCTGTGAGTTATTCAGACCTCACTAAAAAGAAGGAAAGAACATAGGAAGGAAGGAAGGGAAGGAGGGAGAGAGGAAAGGAGAGGAAGAGGAGATAAGGACGAGGTCCTAGCTCCATCACAGGGCTGCTGAAGACGGGTGGCCAAGCCATAGGCTGCCCGACGGCGGAGTGTGTCTCTGTCTTTTTCTTTCCACAGCCTGCCACAGTCCCTTCTTGGTAAAGAAAATACAGCATGGGACAGAGTCACCAACTCCCACCTGTCTACTGATGAAAGACGGCCAGGTACCAGGTGGACTGGGGGTGCTTGGGACCTCCTTGCAAATCTTTTTGCAATTTTGAATCTATAACTATTTAAAAATTAAAAGGTTTTTAAAAGTAAAAAAAAAAAAAAAAGAAAATACAGCAGCGTGAGTGAAGCCCAGGCTGGCTGGGTTCGAATCCTGGCTCTGCCATCTCCTGGATGACTGGCCTGGGCAAGGGGCTCTGCCTTCCTCAGTCTCCCCAGATGTAAAATGGGGACAATCACAGCATCTATATGTCATGGGGTTGCTGAGATTAAACAAGAACAAGAGAAACGCTGAGCTCAGTCTTAGGAAATAGTGCTCAAAAAATGCCCACTATTATTATTATTAGTATCAACGTTTAATGAGTTGATAATAACAGGGACACTATGGCAGGATCTGAACCCAGAGGCTGGGCCCAGAGTCCACACTCTTTCCAAGGCATCACGCTGCCTAGATGGAACACATATTGGTGAAAAACTGAGGAGCGAGTGTCCCTCAAGCAGACTTGTGCTGCAGGTGCCATCGCTCTTTTTGATAATCTTCAGATGTGCCCCCACCAGGGCCCACGTGGCTTGCAGGGCACGAAGGTGGTCCCGGGCCCACCACTTTGTGCCCCACAAGCCTCCTCCATCACCTCCGCCAGGACAGCGCTCTCTGGGCCTGAGCACAGGGCACATGCTTGAAACTTCTTGCGAATGAACCCCCAGGAAGTGGGGAAGGCATGCACCGGCAGAGCGGTGGGGGGCACATTCCAGGTAGGGGACCCAGATGGCGTCTGGGAGTCGGCTCAGAGTGGCCAAGTGCGTGGGAGTGTTGGCAAGCAGTGGCCTTGTAGGGAGAAGGTAAGGAAGGGTGGGGGGAGTGTAGGTGGAATGTAATGGAAGGCCTTGAAATTCTAGGCCGAGGCGTGAGTCCGATGACATCCATGGAAAACAATTTTATTTGCTTTTAGAAGCGCACTCAAATAGTTCAGATTCCTGCTCAAAGTCGCTGACCTCCATGCTTCACATTTGATCAAACGGAAACTTACGCAGCTGCAAGGGCTAGGGCGCAGCTGCAAGGGCTGGGGCGGGCGAGGGAGGGGAGGGAGGCAGCCCATGCAAGGGAGTGCTCCTCGACCTTGCTTTTCAGATCCTGACTCTTCCAGGTAAACGGAAGTGCATCTATTACCCACCAGGTGGATGTCCAGAATTTGTCCCCTGACAGCCAGCTACCCAGCCCTGCCCCACCCTCAGCCTCTCTGCCCTGGGTCCTCACCCAGCTCCTCCAGGTTGCCCCACCCAATCCCATCTTCATAAACCTGTCCCTCCATGTTCAGAAGCCTTTAGGCCTCCCCCTGCTAAGAGCAATGTCCTTAATGCTCCTTAAATGACACCAGGGGTGCGCTGCCCAGCCTGGTCCCCAATTCAGGCTCAAGGCAGGTAACCTGGGCTCAGAGGGAGACTCCAGCTCCTCCTCTGTTAAGCTACTGGCTTCCCCATCCCAGGCCTGTGAGAACACGACACACGGTGACATCCAAGCCCCCACCCCCAGGGGTTCTATCTGCCTGCGTGGCCACCACACCCTAGACTGGTGCATCCGAGTCCTCCAGCCAACTGTTCTGACCAAAAGCAGCAGCTCCCATGTGCCCGGGCCCCAGAATGCTCTGGGCAGAGCAGGGTGCTGGGACAGAGTGGGGGTGCTGAGTCTGGGCCCCCGAGTCATGAAGACTGGGCTTGCCTCTGGCTCCACCATTCACTGACCTCATATGGTTTTAACTTCCTGGTGCCTCAGTTTCCCCAGCCATTATGTGGGGCTGACAACAGTAGCTACCTTGAGGGTTTCTGGGATGACCCAGTGAGATGATCGTCAGGAAGGGCTGACCTGGGGGCTAGGTGTGGTCACGTCACAGACCCTAACTGGAAAGTGCCATGGGCTGTATCATGCTACGAATTATCAACAGAGTTCCAGTTGCTATGTTTTATTGTCATAAATCCTCATGAGGTTAATAATTATTAAAGCAGTCAGAGCCTGGGCAGCCAAAAGCTGGAACATTCTATGGCCAGGCTCTCCGAGGAGGAGACTGCTCCCCTGGAAATTCGGAGTCTCAGAACACCCTGTGGGGCCCTTTCCCCAGGATAATTACTGGCCTGTCCGAAGCCCAGGTTGAAGCCCAACCGCCCAAACAAACATGCCTCCCTCCCCACAGGGCCAGGCCAGAATAAGCGTCTTATGTCACTGATAACCACAGGCCAGGTTGGACAATGTTGATCCAACCAGCGGTGACCTCATTTCCTCGGGTTACAGTCTCAGGGTGGGGGGAGGGGCGCTGACCCACCCGAGTCCCAAACCACCGGAGAGGGCCAGCTGCCCAGGAAAGGAGCAAAATTGTGACTTGCTGTTCCTCCCAAACCTGCAAGGCTCCTGGGAGGTCAGAGAGGCCTCCGACAAATGGCAGATGCCAAAGGGGCGATGCTCCCCCCCCTCCGGTTGTTCAGTAAGCCCCCAGGGTGCATGCGCCCTCTCTGTTCATCCTGCCCCCTCGGCCTCCCACACTGAGAAGGGAGCCCGCTTAGCACCGGGCCACCACTAAGCGGCCCCTCACTCCTCATCTTTCCACCTCTCTGGGGACCTGGCGGGGTCAGGGTGTCCAGGATGCCCCAGGAGCCAGAGGACCAAGTCTGGGAGAAGTGGAGGAGGGGACAGCGGGAACACACCGCTCTGCGGAACAGCCAGCCCCCCTTGGTGAGCGGCACGCGCATCCGGGCTTGCTGAAGGGCCCTCCTGCGTTCTCACAAGCTGTGACGTCAAAACTCACCTGTCGGGGCCCAGTGCCTCAGCGCCCCACCTCGCCACGGCTGAGCTGACTAATGCCACCCCTCACGTTGCTCGCAGGTGAGAGAGGCCCATTCTGAACTCAAAGGACAGCAGAAAGAAGGGACAGGAAATTAACATTCACTGAGCACTTATGGCATGCCAGGCACAGAGTGGCCATAAAACCTTTTTAGGGTTGCATGGGGACACATAGGAAATGAACGAATGCGTGGAGGGATAGGGACTTCTTGATATTAAACTACATCAGATACTACACTAAGTCCCTTTCGGCCAAATAATCTGGTTTGACCTTCAAAACATCATGTACGGCCCCCTCATTCTCTAGCTCCTCCCTTGCTTTGGTTTTGGTCTTTGGAGCACTTCGCACTAAGGGGAACAGTCTCGTTTTGTTGGCTTGTTGGCTGCCTGTGTCCACCGCCGGCATTCCAGTCCTCTGAGCGGCACCCACACGGAGGCAGGGGCCGACCTGGCCCTGGGCTCCGGGAGCTCAACTCAAGGAGCGAGGGCCATCACGCCCGCAGCGCACAGGGCCGCCCCTCGCCCTCCGCGCTCTGCCCGCTGCCCCTTCTCCCCTCCCACCTGCCCACTGTCCCCAGCCCACAGCCTTCTTCCTGTTCCTCCACGTCACCAGGTCATTCTTGCCACAGGCCCGCACTGGCGGGCGCTCCTGCCCGCGTGGTCCCTGCTGCTGTTACACGGCACCCTCTCACAGCCACGCAGGCCCCTCCCGGAGAGGCCAGAGGGTGCCTGGCACACAGCAGGTACCTCGTAACACCAGCGAGTCTCAGCCTCGCTCTGTTTCCACCTCCGATCCATGACAGGACAATCCCTGAGAAGTCCAGGGCCCCAGTCGTGCACAGAGAAGATGCTTGGCCCAGACAGTCGTCCCCCACTAGGGACCTGGGGGGGCATGAAACCCCTTCTCTGAACCCTATGGGGGTCATGTCTTGGGAAGTAGACAAAAGTCCCTCCCATCACTGCACCTGTGCTATCTTAAAAAAAAATAATAAAATAAAAAAAAAAAGTCCCTCCCAGAGCTGGAAGTGGAGCTTTGACTCTGGCCTACCCTCCCTCATTTGAGACCCAGAGAGGTCTGGCAGCTTGCCCAGGGTCACACAGCAAAGTAGTAACCAAGCAGAGACCTGGCCCTGAGCCTTCCGGTACCTTGTCCAATGCTCTTCCCACCACTGCATGAGGCACCCTGGGCCTTGGTGCCATCAAAGGGGTTAAAACAGGATCCGAATGACAAGGAAGGCAAACTCTCCTACACCAGTGGAGGGAAGGAAGGTGTGTCCAGACAGGCGAGGCCAGTGGTTCCATCACAAGGCCATTCAGCGTGCCGGTCAAGCACTCGCGTGGGCTTGGAGATGGGCTTGGTGGCTTGGAGCCAGCCAACTGTGTGACTGTGGGCAGGTTCCTTCATCTCTCTGAGCCTCAGTTTCCTCTGCTGTAAAGAGGGGACAGGACAGCTGCTCCTGGAGCTATTTGAGGGTCAAAGGTGCTGATGCTTGTGTGACAACATGGCCATCTTGGGCCAGGCGGCTCTGCTGCAGTTTCCCATTGTCTATCTGAGCGGGAGGCAAAGGAAACTGAGAAATTCCATGAGCGAGAAAGAGAATTCCAGGCTGAACAGGGGAGCGGGGGGCCAGGGCCCAGCCCGTGACGACTTGCTTGCTGCAAACACAGAAACGAAAAGCCTTTGAAGCCTCGAGCCAGTGCCAAAGGCAGGAAGCTCCTGGGTCTAATTCCATCTCGAGGGGACGGGACGGGACGGGACGAGGCCCGGCTGAGTAATCCCAATGGCATTTCTGTTACACACACCCCCGAGCCTTCACTGGGTTACCCGGACGGCGGATAATTCTAGGAACCATGGACGGATTAACTCTGCGTCAGCCGCTGCCAGGAAGCCCACTCTGACTCCGCGCCGCGTGGGCCCAGGCGGTGGGAAGGGGCTTGGCGGAGGGGCTGGGCTCTGACGCCAGCAGCCTCACCCCTCCTCGGTAGCCAGCTGCACCCCTTCTCTGAACTCAGCTCTCACACAAACACCCTGTGATGATTCAGGGGGAAGGCCCGCCGGCCAAACTCGCAGACGGCACCGAGGAGCCAATCGCTGCGTCCACCTGCGAGCCGGGACCTCGCAGGACTCAACGTTCCCTCCGGCTTTGGGCAACCTTCACTTTTGCTCCGACCTTAAACCCTTCCAAGAAACAGGAGAGGCCAGAGGGTGCGACCAGTGCCTCGCCTGGGAAACAGGTTGGAAGGTTCGGAGGTTTCTTTCCCGATCGAGACCTCTCCCTCCCTCGTCTGGGCCCCGAACGCCCTGCAGTGCCCGCCGGGGAGGCGCGACTTACACTTCCGTGGTTATGAATCCGGTGAGCTCCGAGAGGAAGAGGAAGAGGATGAAGAGGCAGCAGCAGACAGAGACTGCAAGAAACAACACAGACCGCTCTGTTAGGGGAGGCACTGACGCGGGAGGCCAGCTCGGAGGGGAGCGGGGAGGCCCCGGGACGCGGGGTTTGGGGGTGCCCACTGGCCCTCCAAGGCCCTCCTGAACCGTGGCCTCCACAGGAAGCAGCCCCACCTCCAGAAAGGGGTCCGCCTTGAGAGTGGCCTGCGCGGGCCGGGGCGGGTCCCTGCGTGGGCGGCGTCCCCGGGCAGCCGGCCTTCTCCGCCAGCCAGCCGCCGCGGTGCAGGGGCCGAACTCAGAGGCTGCCAACGGGCGGCCCGCAGGGGCGTTCTGTTTGCCTTGAGTGACCCAGAGTTTAAGATGTGGAGTCCACACTGAACAATCAGCAGAACCGCATGAAAGGCCAGGTTTCTGGCTTCTCCAGGACACCTGGCGACCGTTCCCACGAGGGGTCTGGGCCCACCGGCTTGCCGCAGCCCCGCCACTCCCTCCTGCTGCCCCATCCCAAGGCGGCAGCAGCGCCGGCAGCGCCTGCTGCTGTTCGTCACCCCTCTGTGGGGCCCTCAACAGGCGCCCCGGGCCTCAGGCGTGGGAAAAGGAGATTGCTGAGTGCCACTTCCAGAGAAGAATTCTTGTTTTTTTTATCGAGACAGAGTATCACTCTGTCGCCCATGCTAGAGTGCCGTGGCGTCACCTTAGCTCACAGCAACCTCAAACTCCTGGGCTCAAGCGATCCTCCTGCCTCAGCCTCCCGAGTAGCTGGGACTACAGGCATGCGCCACCATGCCCGGCTAATTTTATCTATATGTTTTTAGTTGTCTAGATAATTTCTTTCTATTTTTAGTAGAGACAGGGTCTCACTCGTGCTTAGGCTGGTCTCGAACTCCTGACCTTGAGTGACCCTCCCACATCGGCCTCCCAGAGTGCTAGGATTACAGGCGTGAGCCACTGTGCCCGGCCAAGAGAAGAATTCTTTATGGACGTGAGGAAAGGTCCCGTGTGTCTGACACGCTGAGTGCAGAGCAGTCCAGAGTTGCCCGTGTCAGTTGTGTCTCTCACCCGCCCGGCCCCCAAAGGCATGGGAGCCTGTGGCCCACGAGTCACTCCTCGGGACAGGACATAACAAGCACCCCTGGGACTCAGATCTCCTGACACCCCCCAACATCCAACCACCCAGCCATACCCAGCCACATGCTGTTCCCCAAATATGCATTTCATTTCTGTTCCTTTGCCAGGAACCAACTTCCCCATCTCCCTTCCTCCTCCATGGTCATCCTCTATGCTTGGTGAACTCCTACTCATCTTCCCAGGCCCAACTCAAATGGCCCTTCTGAAGGGGAGCTCCTCAAACCCCCAGAGGTAGAGCCAGCCACCCCATCCTGCGTGTCCCTAGCCTCTATCTGGACGCTTTCCATGTTTTATTGGTTATCTGTGGATGTTTTTCCCACTAGATGGACATCGCAAAAGGCAAAACTCCACGCTCCAGCTCCTCTCCCGGGACTAGGGACGCAGGGGCACTGCTAGGGCCAAAGTGAGGGCTCAACACCCTCACCTGAGCTTATCCCAGAGCAGCTTAGTGGGCAGGGTCACACTCCAGGGGCGCGTGGGGCCCTGCCGCTCACCTGCTGCATGTCCCTAGGTGAACTACTTAACCTCTCTCTGCCTCAGTCTCCGCATCTATAAAATGATGGCAATCGTAGCACTTGCCTCATGGGGCTGCTCTCAGGATTTAAATAACACAAAGGCTGAGTGTGAAATGGTGTCTGGCAGTAACAGTCACTCGAGCATTGGCTCATTATCAGGACCTCCGTAGGGAGATGCTGGGAGGGTCTGGTGATTCGAAAAACTGGCTGACTCTTAGTTTTCTGCAAAGAAAAGAGTTCCCAGTCCCGCTTCCCGATGGCCCTAGACTGGCAGAGCCATGATGGTGGGTGCTGACGCTGGGTGCTCAGCTTATTAGCCTGTCTGTTTACCTGTTTCTACCTACCTACTCATCGAGCTAAAACAAGCAGCCCCAAGTCAATCAACCTATCTTTCTTCGAAACAAACAGCCCAAGATGCATTCTGAGTGCAGAGGGGAGGGAGCGAGCGTTTGCTGAGCACCGCCTGTGTGCTCCATCGCGAGTGCATTCTCAGCACCCTGTCATCTCCCTCCCAGCAGCCCCGACGGGCGGCACGAGCCCGGGCCAGGGTGTGGAATGGGAGGCTCAGAGAGAAGAACAGGCCGGCCTGGGCACCACTGTGTGGGGGCGGGGAGGCAGGACTGGAACCCACGTGTTCCAGAGCCAGCGTCCCTAGAAAAGGAGCCCCAAGAACTCAGGCTCCACATGCAGGCTGGGATGGCCCAGAAGGCCCTGGGCCTCACACTGAGACATGGGGGACACCCCGATTGCTTTCAAACTTTGAAAAAGTTGTATGGGGGCAGCATTGAAAGGTTTCACTTTTTTAAAAAATAGGTAATACATACATATAGGAAAAAACATCCGGGCCAGGCGCAGTGGCTCATACCTATATCCTAGCACTCTAGAGGCTGAGGCAGGAGGATCGCTAGAGCTCAGGAGTTTTGAGACCAGCCTGAGCAAGAGTGAGAACCCCATCTCTACTAAAAACAGGAATAATTAGCTGGGTGTGGTGGTGTGTGCCTGTAGTCCTAGCTTCTTGGGAGGCTGAGGTAGAAAGATCGCCTGAACTCAGAAGTTTGAGGTTGCTGTGAGCTATGATGACACTACTGTACTCTAGCCTGGGCAACAGAGTAAGACTCTCAAAAAAAAAAAGAAAAAGAAAAAGAAAAAACATCCAGCCACAGAACAACGTATATTTTGAGTCCCTCTTCCCTGCTGCAGTCTCATGTCCATCCAGAGACATACGAGCATCTGCACGTATATAAACCCCTTTTTTCTCTAAATGAACCGCAGCATCATGGGCACCCCCTTCCAGCTGTGCTTTGCCTACTCAGCAATCTATCTCTAAACTGGCTGCACATCAGTTTATACAGTGGCCATGGTTTTTTTTTGGTTTTTATTCACAACAAAGAAATTAATTCCAGCTTCCCTGCCAGCTGCCGAACAAATCTCTGGAGATCGGCTCTCAATCCGCATGTCCTGGTGGCTGTTCTTCCCCCTCACCTGCATGCTGCGGTTCTTATACCTCCCGAGAAAGAATCCCACTGCGTGGGCAAAACATCCTTTCTCTGGAATTTTGCACCTTTTCTGACTAGGATCACACGGGACTCCCATTTCAGCATCATTTGCAGCCCTCCCCGCGGGCCCCAAGCCCACTGGGTGCGGTAACAGCGTACAGGCACACGGCAGGGAGTGCAACGCCTGCAGACATGCCCCAGGTTCTCACGCCACCCAGACCAGAGCTAGGGGGACGGGTGGCAAGGCCTCCTTCTGAAGCCTGTGTGCTTTTTCAAGGCTTGGGCAGAAGCCTGGTCAGCCCGGCAGGGGGACACAATCAGCATCGAGTCTCTTCAGCCAAGATGCAAGAGGTCAAAGGTCCTGATCGTTCAGGCTCCCCGAGGCAGGGAGGACAGAAATGAGGTCTCCGTACCTCTGTGGCCTCGGGGGCCAGCAGCGCTTGGCCCAGAGAAGGCACAAAATACATATTTGTTGAATGAATGAATGAATGGACAAAAAACTTGAAGGTAAAAAGTATTTCAACCAGAAAGGCCCTTGATACTGAAGGCAGGATGAAGGTATTCAATCCATGTTTGGGCAAGACTCGAAGGCCGACTCCGACTTCTGACTCCGACTCAGGCGCTGGGCAGTAGGAATGTGACCCCAAGAGAATGGTGGCCGGTAGGAAACCTGGCGCAGCCAGCAAAGGGGCACTGAGCCGAGACCCAGGGATCCAAGTTCGCCGGCCACATAAGTGGAGGAGGCAAAATTCACACTCTGATCCTGAGTCTCCAGCGTCCCTGACCCTTCCCTCAGTCACACATAATGAGATGTCACAACGTAATGAGATGGCGAGTGTCCGAGTCTGCCCATCCCCCTCAGCTCTTTAAGGACAGAGACCAAAGTCCATTCATCAACCTGGTCCCAGCGCCTGGCAAGGGGCCATGCCCCACGACCTGGTTAATAAATATTTGCTCACGAAATGGTAGCTAAGGGCGGGCTTCCTATGCCTCACACCTTTCCTCTTCTGTAAGGAAATTCGCCATCCGAGCGCTGCCTACCAGACCCCATCCCTGGAGGGCCATTTGGCAGGACCTTCTAAATTTCAAAACAACACATGCCCTTTGACCCAGTAATTCCTCTTCTAGGAAAGTTCATTTACAGAAATAACCAGATGAGGATATAAAAAAGATATGGACAAGGATGTCCGTAATGGGAACAAACTGGAACGGGGAACGTCCACCCTCCAGGAGCCGGTGACGTACACCACAGGTGGTCAGATAACGGAACATGACACACCTGGAAAGAAGAGTGTGGCTGCCGTTTGTGTGCTGATAGGAAAGGTGTCCAGGATGTGTCGACAGAAAAAAGGCAGGGCACGAACACTGTGCACAGCATGATCCCTTTTGTGATTAAAACAATGATATAGGTATATCAAAGCTTAAGTATTTTCCAGAAAGTTCTAGAAGGATACACATCTGATTGTTAAACATACACATCAAAGAAGACACTGCAGAGACTGGGAAGAATTCAGAGGCTGAGCTGTTGGGGGGTGGTAGAAAGGGAGGCAGGGAGCCTCGTTTGACTTTTTGGACCAGGTTCAGAAACGGAACAAGCCCCTTTCCTCTCGTGGTCCCCTAACTGCCCTGTCCTCGGGGGTCAACACCCAAAGCGGCATAGTGATAAGGAGAGTCACCCACACTGAGAGGGCGTAGCATGTGCCCTGCACGGGGACATGTTCTGGACACATTTAATCCCCAGATCAGGAAACTGAGGCTCAGAGAGGTGAAGTGACTTGCCCAAGGCCACACAGCTGCCCATGTGACAGGCATCCTGCCACTCCGCTGCGTTGTTCCCTGGGTTCTCCAGGGCTCAAGAAGGCACCTTTGGGCCGGGCGTGGTGGCTCACACCGTAATCCCAGCACTCTGGGGGCCGGGTGGGAGGATCTCTTGAGGTGAGGAGTTCGAGACGAGCCTGAGCAAGAGTGAGACTCCGTCTCTACCCCAAAAATAAAAAATTAGCTGTACAACTAAAAAAAAAACATACATCATATAATAGTATATATAATTATATATTATTTAAAATTAGCTGGACATGGTGGCACATGGCTGTAGTCCCAGCTACTCGGGAGGCTGAGGCAGGAGGATCACTTGAGCCCAGGAGTTTGAGGTTGCTGTGAGCTAGGCTGACACCACGACACTCTAGCCGGGGGAACAAAGTGAGACTTTGTCTCCCCCTGCAAAAAAAAAGAAGGCTCCTGTGGCTTCTACAAGCCCAGCTGGAGGGAGGGCTAGGGTGGCCAGCCGGGGGTGGGGTGTCAAGGTCATCCCCTTGAGATGAGAATGGCCTGACCTCGGAGGAGGGGCTCTGATCTCACCGCGCAGCCCAGGGATCGCGGCTGGGGCAGCAGGGCTGGGACAGTGCGTGGGCAGCGTCCCTGTCCCGCACCAAGCGCTGGGGAGGCCAGAGGGGTGCAGGAGGGCCCACCTGAGGCCCAGCCTGGCTCCACCTCTTGTGAGATATAAAACTTCGGCGAAATCACGTCACCTCTCTGAGCTCATCGTCTCATCTGGAGAGTGAGGCTAAAGCATCCCCCAGCTTGCAAGGGGCTTTGGTTTGTTTTTTACAACAAACTTTTTATTATAAAATAATAATAGATGCAAAGGCAGTGAAAACAGTTCCCACACAGCCTTACTCAGCTTCTCCTTCCATTAACGGCTTACGTGACCACGGCATGTTTGTCTGAAGGAAGAAATTAAGGCTAGCTCGGGACCAAAAACTAAGCTTCCTTATTCAGGTTTCACCAGTTTGCCCGCGGAGGCCTTATTTCTGCTCCAGGAACCGATCCGGGATCTCGCTTTGCATTTAGTCACCCCGGGTCCTTGTCTCTCATCTCTGACAGCTCCTCGGTCCTTCCTCAGTTTCCAGGGCCTTGCCACTTGGGAAGAGTGCGGGCCAAGCGTCCCGTAGAGTGTCCGCGAGCTGGACTGCGGTGTCTTCTCACGATTGGACCGGGCTGTGGTTTTCTGGGAAGACCCCACAGAGGAAAGGCGCCCCTTGCGCCGCATCAGGGGTTCGTGACATCCACATGCCGTGTCACGGTGACGTCAACTTTCCTCACGGTTAAGGTGGCGTCCCCGGGTTTCCTCATGGTGAAGTCTCTAGTTTTCCTGTCTGTTCTCTGTTCTTTGGAAATAAGTTACAACGTCCAGCCCATACTCGAGGGAAGGGGATTAAACTCTGCCTCCAGGATGGGGGAGTATCCAGATACAGGTTAAACATCCCAAATCTGGAAACCTGAGATCTGAAATGCTCCAAAATCTGAAAATTTCTGAGCGCCAACATGATGCTCAAAGGAAACGCTCATTGGAGCATTTTGGATTTTCAGATTTGGGAGCTCGACTGGGAAGCATGATGCCAATGTTCCAAACCCGGAAACGCTTCTGGTCCCACGCATTTCAGATGAGGGACATCCAGCCTGAGTGTCGCTGGATTCTTCTGCAAGGAAGATTTGTGTCTCCCCCATCTACTCATGCCAGCACGGACTCAAGATCTTTCGCTTAATTCTTTGGGTTCTAAACCAATAATATTGTTTATTTAATTACTCAAATGGCCCCAGCTTTGGTCTGTGGGGCCTCTCTCAGGTTGGTGCCTGGGTCTTGGGATACTAGGTGCTCCGGGCTCATCTTGTACTTTTCCTGCCCAGCCTGGAATCAGCCATTTCTCCAAGGAGCCTGGGTTTCTTTTATGGAAGAATTGTCTTTATAAACCAAAATCTGGGTGAGATCATGATTGTTTTTTTTAATGGACAAAAACAGGCTTAAGTCAAAAACTCAAACTGGGCCAGGCATGGTGGTAGCTCACGCCTGTAATCCCAACACCTTGGGAGGCTGAGGCGGGAGAATCACTTGAGGCCAGGAGTTTGAGACCGGCCTGAGCAAAAGCTGGACCCTGTCTCTACAAAAAAACAGAAAAATTAGCCAGGCGTGTGGTACATGTCTGCAGTCCCAGCTACTTGGGAGGCTGAGGCAGGAAGATCACATGAGCCCAGGAGTTCGAGGCTGCAGTGAGCTATGATGTAACCACAACACTCTACCCAGGTAACAGAGCAAGACCCTATTAAAAAAAAAGCAAAACACCTCAAATTGTTTCAAAAGTATAAAGAGAAAAGTAAATCCCCCTCCCACCCCTGAGCCCCAGTTACTATTGCCCATTTCTTTTGGGTCTTTCCAGAAGCAGAAGATGCCTACACAGTACAGTAAGGACAGAGATTAAATGAAGAAATACATCAATGGCCTGCCAAGATGTTCGGCATTTCTCCCCTCCCTCCTGTCTTTCCACCTCTCCTCCCTGGACCACACGTTCCGCAGGGAGGGCGGGCACAGGGATGGGGCTGGGGGTGACAGTCAGGAGGGCGGCTACTCACTAATGGCCCCGGTGTACGTGGGCTGCGTAAGGTCCTTGGGCACCTTCCTGTAGATGTCAAACCTGCGGAGAGCAAACGGAACAGGAGTGAGGCGGGGGCGAAGGGCGGGTCTCCAGCCGCAGGCCGGGGCGCCGTGGGCTTCAGCACCCACGGTTCCTCCCAGAACCCGCTGCTCCTACTCCGTCAGGGTCCTCCTCCAAGGGGGCTTGCTCTGATGAGCCCCTCTGATGGGGCCCCTGCCCCCCACAACACCTTAGATCACAGCTCCGTGTCTTCTCCCTCCATAGCACTTACTGCCCAAGGTCATTACAAACGACCTTGCCCACTCAGCTGTTCACACTTCTCGGTGGTCTCCCCACATCAGAATGTCACCTCCGTGGGGAAGGGGCCTTGTTGGGTTTTGTCCCCTGCCGTGTTCCCAGACCCGAGCACGGGCCTGGAGCATGGCAGGCACTCGACACACAATTGTGGAATAAACCGAACCCTCGCGTCTCGGGGACTGACGCCAGAGGAAACAGGGAAACGCACAGCCGTTCTCGAGTTCTGTGACGACGCGTTCCTGCTCTGCGTCACCCCTCCACCCCCTCTTCCCTTTCCTGCCTCCTCCTCCTGTTTCCACTCCCCCCTGCACCCCACCAGCTCCTGCTGCCTGCTTCTCGGGAGATTCCGCTTAACTCTGAGGCGTGAGGCCACGGAAAATCCTGCCTGGAGCCCACAGCCTGGGCACCGGCTGGTGGCGGCGCTGGCCCCATCCCCCGAGGCTCCCTCCCCGGGAGCACACAGATGCCCCGTCTCCCAGCGATCCCACCGGAGCTCAGGAGAGCCGTCGGTGTGGCAGCAGAATTTGGGGTTTTGGAATCGGACAGCCTCGGATTTCATCCTGGCCCTGCCTCGCTACTGGCTATTTAAGAGTTAAGGCCATGGAATCAGACTGCCTCGGTTCAAATCTTGGCTGGTCCTCTTCCTTGCTGTGTGACCTCAGGCAAACAACTGCACCTCCTTGAGCCTCAGTTTCCTGATCTGTAAAATGGAGCTACCACTGCTCGACCCTGCAAGGCTACCGAGAGGAGCAGAGAGACAAATGTCCGTAAAGCACTTGACGCAGAGTGCCACGGGGACGCCCACGCACTTGGCCTCCTCCCCCGCCCTTGAACTGGAGCAGCAGACGGTTCTCACGCAGCAGAGTTTGATCAAGAGAGCCCTCGGTAGGCCGGGCGCGGTGGCTCACGCCTGTAATCCTAGCTCTCTGGGAGGCCGAGGCGGGCGGATTGCTCGAGGTCAGGAGTTCAAAACCAGCCTGAGCAAGATCGAGACCCCGTCTCTACTATAAATAGAAAGAAACTAATTGGCCAACTGATATATATATAAAAAATTAGCCGGGCATGGTGGCACATGCCTGTAGTCCCAGCTACTCGGGAGGCTGAGACAGAAGGATCGCTCGAGCCCAGGAGTTTGAGGTTGCTGTGAGCTAGGCTGACGCCACGGCACTCACACTAGCCTGGGCAACAAAGCGAGACTCTGTCTCAAAAAAACAAAACAACAAAAAAAAAAAGAGAGCCCTCGGCACGGGCGGCATTCCTGGCTCCCGGGTGGAACCTGGCTTAGTGGAGAGGCTCCTGCCCTCGGGGATGACAGGCCGGCGCAGGGCTCCTGGCGACCGGGCTACAGAGTGTGCCCTGCTAAGCCCAGTGCACCGACTTGGAAACCCTGAACAAGGGCTGATATTTGACTCTGTGTGCTCACCCTAGTTACACGTGAAATGTGCTCGGTTTCCTAAGACCTCGGGACAAAATCCCTGTGGGTTGCCGAGTGACAAGTGACAAGTTGCTTTCTCCACTGCCTGCTCGGCTACCAGTCGCCTGTGCTTAGGCCCCTGAGAGCACTAGAAACGGGCTGGCGGCGGGTGTCTGGAGGGGGGTTCATGCAACTCGCCTATCCATACCTACCTACTCACCTCCCGTACTCAGAAAATGCGGAATGTGTTAGCACCAAGGGGTATGTTAGAGACAAGGGCATAAACTGTGGGATCAGACTGCCTTGGCTCAGCCTCTACCACCACTGTGTGACCTTGGGCCTGTCACTTAACCCTCTGTGCCTCAGTTCCTTTGTCTGTAAAATGGGGGCAACAACAGTAACTATCTCACAGCATAGTGGTGAGGCTCAAATGACTGAGTGCACGTAGAGCACTTAGAACAGTGTCTGGCGCGCGGGAAGTGTTGTATATTTACTGTTACTATTGATAATGCTAATTTGACTAACATCTAGGAAGCACCTACGATGCACTGAGCCCTGTTTTAGGCATTAGGGACATGACATTGGCCCCACGAGCCTGCAGTTTGGCAGCACAGACAAAGGAAGAAAGGGAGGAGAATGCAGGGGTGCTCCATCCCGGGGCTGCTGGAGGAGCCCACAGCGGGCGCTAACCTGGCCTGGGGACTTCCTCAAAGCTGCAGAGTGTGCCCTGCTAAGCCCAGTGCAACGACTTGGAAACCCTGAACAAGGGCTGATATTTGACTCCATGTGCTGACCCTAATTACACGTGAAATGTGCTCGGTTTCCTACGACCTCAGGGGAGAAAATCCCTGTGGGGTTTTGGAGGGGAAGTGTGGACAGAGCAGGAAGGTGAGAAGACAGGTGGGTGGAGGGACAGAGCAGCCCAGGGAGGGAGAACAGCAAGAGCAAAGACCAAGATTAGGACCGAACCTAGGGTGCTGGGTGCTGCCCTGACTTCCGCGTAGAACGGGGGCGGCGTGGAGGGAGAGGAGGCCGGAGAGGTGGGAGGGGCTGAAGGAGAGGGTCCGCCCTGCCAGGCCACGGCTGAGGATTTTCTCAACAACGCCAACCGGGGCCAAGAGGGCAACCCAAGGTAGGGGCTGCCCAAGGTCAGCAAATTTTGGAGCTGGAGGTGGGGAGAGGGATGAGGAAAAAACACACAAGGGGGTGGCCATCACTACGCCTCAGCTGATTCCTGCCAGGTGCAGCTGTGGGCCAGGGGGCCAGACCTTCTGATTTTTCAAGACAAGCAAAAGACTTGGAATTTTACATGGAAGTTTCCCATTCTCAAAGGTTGGGCCAGCACTCTGCAGGACAAGAGAGGCGAGACTGCAGAGGAGGCCTGGGCCCAGCGTGCGCCGTCTGAGCTGAGAAGCCCTGCAGAGCGGAGAAGGCTGTGGCTGGCCGCCTGTCTTAGAGGGGCCAGGCTGGGCCTGGGTGGAGGACAGGGGGGCTCTCCTAAGGAGACTGGAAGCTTGGGGGTCTGGGGGGAAGGAGCAGGAGAGATCTCATCCTCTCTCTGCCCCAACTTGGTCTTTGAACTGTAGAAAACCCCCTGTCCCTTGCTGGGCCTCAGTTTCCCTGAATGTGAAATAAAGGAGTACATAGGGTACCTAAAAGTTCCCTTCCAGCTGAAAACTCAACTGGCAGCAGTGCCCTGAGGTTAAAGGAAATCCAGGTGGCTGACAACCCAGCGTTCGTCCAGGTCACCATCAGGGGCCTGCAGGCAGAAACTGAGCCTCGCTGTTTAAAAAATACAGGAACCACCATTTCAAAACTGAGCGTGTGGTGGGAAGTCAGAGGCTTCTCGGGGTGAGGCGGCAGGGGTGGCCCAGGCTAGAGTGTCAGAGCCCAATAAGGGTGAGGAGGAGAGAGCTGGGAGACTAATACACACGGGGCTGATGAAATATGTGCCCGTACTAAGGACTATGGGGGCCAGACGCTTCGCTGTGGGGGAAGGGAGGCTCACACACGCAGTGTTAGGGTGGAGAGGGAGGTATCGATGTGAATTCATGATTTCTAATATATGCAGATACCAAAAATACATATACATACATGCACGTCATATATGCATGTATTTCCTAGCTCTTTCCATAGAGAAGGTCCAGGAAGAGTGGCAGCCCATGGCAATAAGTGCAACTAGCACCCAAACCTTAGCTTCTAATTACTACGCGGTGCTCAAAGAATCAGAGCCCCTCGGAGAAACGGCTGATTCCAGGGGGCTGGGCAGGGAAAATACGGGATCAGCCCGGCACATCTTCTTATGGTAGAAGCCAAGAAAGTGTTCCAAGAACACAGGTGAGATGCCAAAAGGACAAGAACCAGCTTGAGGGGTCTCCCACTGGCCTCAGAAAGGACAATGTGAGTACCAAAATACGTAATGACTGCCACGGACTATAACCCCTTGGATCAAACAGAAGCCATGAATCTACATAGATACAAATAAAGAAATGAATGAATCACAAGTCTGATGAGGTAGAGGGTGCTGACATAGCTTTGCACCATAAAACACTTATCACCAAGGGAAAGGAATAACTTTGCGGTGCAGAAACGTGGCAGACACCACGGCCACCAAGTGAAGAAAGCGAACGTCGCAGTGAGGAGACGTCAGCGCCACGTGCCTCAAAGTGGGCTGCACCGAGGCGGTGGGTGCAATGTCCCTTCGTGGAGATCCTGCCTAAAATGCACAGCTTCAGTCTGATCGCGACCAGACATCAAACACGTCCAGACTGAAGGGCATTCCACAAAACAACTGGCCGTCATCTGTCAAAAGTGTTAAGGTCATAGAGGTCAAGACTTTCACAGACTGAAGGAGACTAAAGAGGCAGGACGGCTAAATCTGATGTGGGATCCAGGGTCAGAAAACGGGCATCAGTGGGACATTTAATGAAACCTGAGGAAGAGCTGCAGATTGGCCAACAGTATTGTACAATGCTACTTTCCTGGTTGTGCTGACAGTACTGCAGTTATGTAAGATGTCAACATTTGGGGAAGCTTAGGGAAAGGGCATACAGGAACTCTGTGTACAGTTTTTTGCAATATGGGGGGCCAAGTCTGACATTATTAATTTAATGAAAATGTAAAAAAAAAAAAAAAACAATTAAAGGGGGAGATGCCACTTTACAACCCCACTTAGCCTGCTTTCTTCGCACATGCTTGGTCCATGTAGGCATTTGAATCGAGGTGCTGGTTTAACAAACGTGTGCTGAGTGTGCAGGGTTTCAGGAAGAGTACGTCTTTGTAGGGTGGGGACTGGGGAGGGAGGCTAGAATAAAGCTCTAAGAGGGAG